CTCTCTGTGGCAGGCCCCAGGGTTTTTCTTGGTGATGGTTCTGTCACACCCAGGGCATTTCTCTGGGCTTACATAAACACCCCAGAGAGCAGAGCAGGACTTGTCTGCAAATCCCTTGGTACCTCAGATTCTCATTCATCCTAAGGCTGAGAAGGTGAAAGTGCCAGGACTTGTGGGGATTTAAGGAGAGTGGACAACTGTGGTTTGGAAAAGGCTTGTAGAGCCTGGCAAAGAGTGGAAGTGCATTTGTGTGGGATCTGAGGGGAGAAGGGAAAGTACCAGCAGGGTGAGAGCCTGGCAGGGAAAACGTGGATGGTTTGGTGTTGGAGCTGGGCTTTGGGTGCAGGGCTCCCCCAGGCTCTGGGCAGTCCCTGGAGGGCAGGAGGCTCTGTAGAAATCAGCTTTAACCCCCCAAGGCCCTCATGGTTTGAGGCTGTGGCCATGGAAAGGCTTCTTCAAACCAGGGCTGCTCCTTCCCTCACTCCTCCCTCCTCATCTCATGTCCATTTCATCTCAGCACAATCTCCATTCCATCACTGAACACCCTGGGGGTGCTGACCCAGATGGGGGGAGCAGGAGGGACTCCTAGGGAAGAGTTAGTGTTGTTTATTTGGTGCCCTGAGGAGGCTTTGTGGGGCAGAAATCAGTTCTTTTTGAAGAAAAGAGAATTTGGGGAGTACAGGACTTTTTAAAAGATATAAAAGAATTTGAAGATGAGTTTGGGGGCTGGGAGAGGGTGAGTTTCCCTTTGCAAAGTGTTGGGAAGGAAGGAGAGAAGTGAAAGAATATGGAGAGTATAGGAAATTGTACAGAATCCAGAAAATATGCGGAGTTCTGGGGCCATATTTTCAATTGTTTGCTAGAAGCTTAAGTTCATACTGCAAAACCTAACTTGTTTCCTGCTGCTTTCTTTTTTTTCCTATAAGTAAAATGACAAATTCTTCACTGTAGCTGCCAGGCCCCATCTGATGGCATGTTACAGGTTTCAGGAGAATTTCTTTAAGCCAGTTTTGTTTCTGTGGAGCACAAGGGGAGCAACAGACAAAAGCCCCCAAGACCCTACACTTTTAAAGTGCATTGTGAGAGAACCCTGGTAACTCAGTGGGAGATGAATGTACAGACTCAAACAGATCCTCTTGTAATTACTTTAAGAGATATAGTGGGAAATAAGCAATTAGTCCTTTCTAGTAAGGAAGATACAGAAGTTAAATCATTTGATGGGAAGATTTAAAATATTATTTTACAAAATACAATTCTGTAGCCTCTATTCTCTTCCAGAATACATGAGCTTTATTTATTCAGAAACAACACTGAACAGTCCCAGTGTTTGAGGAAATTGGGATCTCTGCTAGGTTCTACATCCTCATCTTTGTCCTGGGACCCCTATGAAACCACATTCCTTTAGAACCTTGCATGAATTTTTTGGGTTCTTTCTGTGTCTGCCTTCCCTGCCATGGTGCTCTTCTGCAGCTTTGTTTCTCAAGAACCACTTCTGCTTCCTCTGACTAAGAATGAAAAAGGGATCAAAGAATTAGAAGGAAGTATCTGAGCTGTAGGAACAGGCAGCTGCAGCCAACCTGAGATGTCGATTTTGTCCCCAAGGGTAAGGAGGGAGCTCAGATGTGAAGGTGTGTCCTGTCCAAGGGATTTGCTGTGGTGGATGGGGGTGTCCAGCTGGAAAACTGCCCTGGATTTCCTCCCCACACAAAACTCACAGCTTGGGCAGCGTGTGTTCACCTTCAGCTGTGTTTTGCACTCCCCAGAAGCAGAGAGGTCTGTGAACATTTCTCAAAACCTCAGCAGTTTTGGGGGCAGTTGGAAATCAGGAGAAGGGATGGGGAACTGCAGCTCTGTCTGGAAACATCCTTGAGGTGGGCAGGGAATGCACGGGGGGACACTGGCATCTCCAAACTGATACATTTAACTTCCTAAAACATCCAATGTGCTCTTTGCCATAACAAAAGAGTTCTGTGGGAGAAAACCAGCCTGGATGCAGAATGTTCTTCAGATAGATAAAAAACCCAGTGTACAGCTCAATTTCAGTTTCCACAATGAAGTAACAACTTTCTTGGCATTAAAAGAAGAAACAAAGCCACAAAGATGGAATTGTTCAATGTAACAATTTGTTTCAGAAATGTACTTTCCATTTTGTGTTTCACCCTGCCTGCATCCCTGGTTTGGGCTGTGCCAGCATCTCTTTTCCTCTGCCCTTGCCAGTCCCACCATAAATCAGGAGACAAGTGTGGATTGCCTTGACTTTCCTATTTATTGTTGCCTCTAGATTTTCCATAATATCCCCTTGAAAGTTATCTCCTGTGCAGCACAAAAGGATTCCAAAAATCCCTAATGAAGTTGAGGATACTTCTGTTTCTTTTTCCTTTAAAAGTTGTGACAGATCTTTTTGGGTCATTTCTGCCTTCTTTGCAAATTATCAAATTGCTGCAAAAAAAGCAATACAATGTTTTCATGTTTGGAGGAATGTCCCTAGGGCTTTTGGTATTTAAAAATGTTAAAATACTATTTCTGTCTTGGCATACTGGGAGATGACTCTGGGAAGAAGGATCTCATGTTTTTTGGGAACTTTACATGAACAGAAAATTCAGCAGTGGTTGTGCAGAAACTTTTTCTGAAAGGGTTCTTAACCTGTTATTGTAAAAATGCTCTCTAGCTCCTCACACCTTTTAGGAGGTCACGTCAGACCTGCTGCTCGTAGATGTTTTGGAGTATTTTCAGTCTCAATTTGTTTCCCCCTGAGCAGCTACTGTGGAAGGCTGAGTCTGGTCAGGAGATTACTTGAAACATCAATTTTACATGACTGTTACTTGGAAGACATCTCCAAATATATCATGTGAATTGCCAGCCTCCATCAGATGATTATTTTCTTACAGTGACAAATCCTGAACTGTTGTGACCAACTGTGGTATTTCTGGGGTATTTTAACCTCTGTGAAATTCTTGTTTTATTTAATCCTGTCCTCATATGTCAATTCTGGTGTGAATAACAGAATGTTTGAATTACCATCTTTGAGAATTGGGGTTTTTTTAGTCTCTAAGTAATTCCAGGTGCACAGGTTAATAATTTTTAGCATGAAGTGTAGGTAGTTCCTAATGTTGCTTGTGTTTTTACCCAGATTCTTAGTTCAGTAACCACTTTTTGCTTACTTATTTCTGTTTTAAACATTGAAAAGCTTATCTAATACTTTCACTTTTAAGCCTGTTTAAGCTGTAATTCTCCATTGCTTTTCTCTAGGATTTGGCCAGGTAAGCCAGGTAATATTGAGCTGTGGGGTTATTACAGGGGTCACAAGACAAAATCTCAGCCTGGGGTCAGCTGCTCTTGGGAAATGAAATAAGCAACTCATTTTGTAATGGGAGATGATGAGTTGTACAGAATCAGGCAGGTGTGAGGTGCCAGAATTAGAGACAGGAGCTTGCCCTGTTGCTGTGGGCTCTGGTTTTTATCCTGATGGATAAAATAATAAATTGGACGGGTGATTCCTCACTGGTTTTGCCCTTTGCAGTTTCTGGGTTGTAAATGAATTCAGCTGGTGAGATTGAGAAAGTCAAGATTACCTTTAAATGCCCAAATT